TGTGTGTGTGTGTTGTGGAGATACAGAAATTCTTATATTGCTGCCATATAATCTGCATCATTATAACTGCATTAATAACATTCTTTACAGCATTATTCCATTTAATAATATTTCTCACAGTATTGATATTGCATTAAAGTTGTAGATTGAAGATGTCCATTTGAGGATCCTTCCATTATGTTAACTTTTATTACAAGTACGGTCAATAAGTCAGTAATTTCTTGTGTTATAGAAAAGAGAAGTTCTATGTCTGCTTATAGCCATTAAAGATGTACAAGATGTACGATTAAGGCGTGTGCTTTATAAGTGTCCACAACATGTATTTAGGTCAGAGGACATATGCTGATGTTTTCTCCGGGCTGTTAATAAACTCACCGTTTGATTGCACTTTTCTGGGGCCTCTGTGGTTTGTGACACTGCTCTACATTGATCGATTTCGCGACAGTGTGTGTGTGTCTCTGTGCACGTGCTTCCACCTGAACATCACACTCTGGTCCTCAAAGTGACCTTTGTAAGAGTTCACACTGATGTCACTGCTGGCATCACAGGGAAACTTGGATCATTTATTCTGAGCACTGAGATCCAAGCAGGTGAGTTCTAACAGCATCCTCCCCAGTACAGGTGTTATGGAGGAGGAGCTTATCCACAGAAACCAAACAGTCTGCGCATCAGGCTGTAAACATGGGAGTCTATGGGACCGACTCACTGCTGCCCCTGCTGGACGGCAGAGGAAGGTTGAACACACGGAGAGAAACACGAGGCCACGCTGATACGGTTGAAGCGCTTTTGTGATTGTAACACAGGACTCACACACACACTGGTTAATGCTTAGACTGTCTTTTATTGAGAAATAATCTTTTGCCTCGGACGCAGCCGCTCCGACTCTCTCCCAGCATCATCTGCTCTTTCTCATTGCGGACACATATAAGACACATCTCCCTCATTAAAACAGTCCTTAAAACTCCCTCCCTGCCTCCGTGCTGCCCAGAGAGCTCACTGTGTCACCCCTCCTCTGCAGGAGGCCAGCAAACCACGCCCCCGCCACAGTGTGTAACTGTCCACTTTTGGGATGTGTCACTCTTGGACTGACGTCAGAGCGAAGAGCTCCCGGATGAAGCGTGGGACTCGTGTTTGTGGTCTCCTGCCAGCATCGCAGCTCTTAGTAAAGTAAAAACCTCTCATGTCAGCAGCGTGGGGCCCTGTCACACCTGTCTGTGGGTGTTTGCTGTACCACCTGACACCAGAGCCTCTGCTGGACCTTTGGCAGACTTGCCATGTCTAATGAGCCTCTGCATGCACCGTGGTCCTGATGCTTTTTAATGAGCCCACCTGTGACGATGAGACTTTTAGCTCTGACTGAAAGCATCAGGAGTCCTTTGGCAGCTTTATTACTCCAGCTCCTTCTACAGGAGTTCGTGCTTTCTCAACCTTTGCAAATTTCCCCATCAGAGCCCCTCACAGTCTGCCGGATTCTCTCCCAGACACTCTTAGACTTGCAGGATTAAACCGGTCACACATCAAATTAAACATGAAGGGGTGCTAAGCACTCTTCAAGGCTAATAGTCTGCACTTTGATTTCAAAAAAGACGATTGAATTTGGGGAGATCTGAAGGCTCTTTGTTTTACTGACAGCTACCAGATAGCAGCAGAGGTTTGGCCCAGCGCTGCCTCAGGTTGTCTGCTAGCTCATTCATAGTTAATGATGATCTCCTTCCTCCCCACATGGACTCAGAGGACTCCCATCAAAGACTTTTGACTGTAAATATTTCCGAGTGTGCGTTCGGCCTTTGTTTACAGTGCGTGTCCCAGTTCTCTGGGTTCATCAGTCTTCACACCAGAACGCCTCGTTCATTTCTCAGCTGCTTTCATCACGTGAAAAATAAATCAAGCAGAGGGAGCAGGTGAAGCTAACCGACGCCTATGAGGCAAAGAGAGTCTATAACAAGAAATCAAAGTGTTTCAGCTTCCACAGCAGGAGGGCTTATCAAGAAGCTGATTTCAATGAAACTGTGTGTCTGCAGGGCTGAGAGCCAAAGACCATCGAGTCTGATCGGTGACGCTGAAGCAGACCAGAATGACTGATGCTCTGCAGGCGTCTTCATCACGTTGATCCTGCACATGTGTTCAGATTCACAGTCAGAAACAAACCTGACACTCAGAGAAACCAACATTTTTATACACATCACACACTTTTTATTGTTGATGAAAATAAAACAGGGTTTCTGGGAAAAAAGGAAAGGATGATTTTAATAACATGTTAGCTGCAGGGTTT